TGACCCCCATTTTAGAGATTAATTTGTGGATCAAGTGTGGGATGTTCTTCAGCACAGCCCATGGTAACTACTTCAGTGTAATGGGAACTCAATGTACAAACAACCTTACAGCCTGTCTTTCATAGATTTCCTAATTCTGGGGTTCTAGAAACCCCCAGACTCTCAGAATTACTGGGTTTTCAGAATATGTCAATCGTCTGGTATTCTAAATACTAGACAACATTTCAGAAACTGAATCTGTTTCTATCCACAGCTGAGGTGGGAGACGCCTATTCTGTTGGATCCATTAGAAAGAGTTAACCTCAGTCACTGGACCAGTGCGCGTTGATGTATGTAATAAATTCAATATAAAGCCAAAGTGATGGAATAAACACTACTGAATGCAAAATGTTGTTACTTCTTACCTCATACAATAACAATCTATGAACACATACGATACACAACAAAATACTGTTATAACATTTACAGTTCATTTTAATAAGAAATTCTGTTCAAACTAATTAAACAGTTGTGCGATTTTTAGAAATTGAACATGGTGGTCATTTCATCAAATTAGACTGATGGTAAAAATAACTTCATGTCAATTTCTGCTTATCTTCTGGTTATACCTTACCATCCACACATAAATTTAGTTTTCTTCTTCACATCTGCTACTATACTGTTCTCATTGTTATAATCAAACAGTGGTCCCAACCATACAACATTTTTTCACATATAAATGAAGTTACAAATTTATTCTCTCTGCTACATTCTAAGAAATAACAAAGAGTACATATATCTAAGTATTATAGTAGGTCTACATGTGAGTGAATGAGAGAGAAAGACAATAAGAGGGAAGGTCTTATGCAGACAAAAATTGCCTTTCTCAGTCATATACTAACATAGGCCATGTTTCAATCTTTTAACACAATTTTAAAAAATAATATATATTTTCTTTAATCTACCCTATGTCTTCAGTGCCTGTTACTGTGGTTCTGTATTCTTCGCCATATCTGATAGTCTAACTCATCAGTCCCCCCATATCTTTGTCATAGAATGTGTCTCATTGCTGAAATCTGTATGTTTGACTGACTTTCTAAATCAAAGACATAACTTCATGTACAGTGATTTTCAGTGGTTTGCACCATGTCTCTGGACTCAAAGACACTACATGAAAGAGTACTTTTTGTATATGTACCTGCATAACCTAATAATATGTCAAAAGCTGATTTGTAACTACTACAGTTACTGATATACAGAAACATGAATGACAACAGCACATATACAAGTGCTCAAATATGCATGCAATTATAAGATTTGAGGTTTCATGGTGGCAAAGTATATGGCACTGTGTACTCTCGTAGGTATGTACCCAAGCATTTGTGGTTCAAGCTATTCGAATTTCCTGCATATATATACCATACCTCCATATAAATATTTGCATCTATGTGTCAGTTTGAACCCATAACCTGATTTTATCACATCTGACATTCTCTCGTTTATAATTTTGGTTAACTGGTACAGATGCCTATGAAATGACCTTGTTTTATTATGGTCTCACCTACAATGCAGTCACACAGTACAAATGAACCAGTTACAACAGATTGACTACTAAGGGGCCTTTCCACTGTGCATGATATGGAGGTCACATTTCCTACTTGGTGAGATAAAATGAGAAACAATGCAACAGTCTCAGTAATCGAAGGTTACTGGCCCACTCACAGTAGTACCTACCTATACTGCATTACTCACACAATTAACTTTATTTTCATAAAATACAGACTGCCTCTGTGGTCTAGGGGTCAGAGTTCCTGGCTACAGATCCAGAGGTCTGGGTTTGATTCTCGGTGCTACCAGATTTTCTGAGAAGTAGTGGGTCTGGAACGGGTCCACTCAGCCTCGTGAAGATAAGTGAG